ATATATATATATATATATTTAAAAAGATGAATGATACAGAAAAGAGAAAGAAGGAGAGTTCCGTGATTTTCCGTGATGCCACGTTAGCGTAAAACTACGTGCTGCCGCGTGTCGAGCGTTGGCGATATAAAACCCACAACTTTTAATACTATAATGGCAGCTCATTCGTCAGCTATCTTTAGCATTGAAAACTACTTAACACACAGCTATTATACAATTGAGTACATTTTCGTTTACGACTGGCATCTGGCATTACCAATACAATCCCCGACTCCCACATACTCTCCTTTACAATGCAATACAAAACCTGTTTTCAAACTGGGTATGTTTACAGATATAATTTTGCCTAATACGAGTTTTTCCAAGGTGATGATATTCAATACGGAAAAATTTGTGACAAGTCATAAATGGGTCGTAGGAGTCATTCCTGCCCACCTGAAGACTCATACAGCTGTTGCCGATAAGATACCGAACATGATCGGAGACTATTCGTAGGTGTTATTCCTTCCCACTTGAAGTCTCAGCTGTTGGCGATGTTATACCGAACATGATCGGAGACTATCCGTAGGTGTTATTCCTGCCCACTAACCCACCCGAAGACTCACACAGCTGTTGCCGATGTGATGCCGATCATGTTCGGGGACCATTCGTCATAATGACGTCCTATCAATATCAATTTTATAAAGTTTCCTTTAGCGTTGTGCGTATTTCGAAAAAAACATCGAAATATGTCATGGGTTACTTTGTAGACTCTGTACACTACACTGGTTTCCGAAAGCCATTCAGATTTAAAAGCCACGGTAAAATAGCTGCCAATGTGACGTCACATGACGTCATGATAAGGGCAATTATCCACTGTTCTGTATTACAACGCCATCAAAATGTTTTAAAAAACGACTTAGAGCTTGATCAGACTTCGTACTTTATTTCTAGCATTTTCTTTCGAATGGCGATTACACGTTGTTCATTTAGTCTAAATCTAAATATCGGCATTAGTCCCGAATGGTCAGTTGACGTATAATATTGAAATTCCTGATAGCCTCAAGCATCCTTCATTCGAAAAGCCTAGAAAAGTCCATATCTTTTTTACTACAAGATATCTTTATAGTGACGACATTTGAAAAGGCTGTCAGACCTACTGAGTTAGCTTTAGTCTCGAGTTTTTGTCACAAGATTAAATTATTGTAAAGGGAAGCACTTCATTACTGCATGGCGTCATATGGTACTTCAAGAAACTGATTAATTTCCTCTAAGCATTCATTAAAAAAAGAAGAGGCGAGAAAATTAACAGCTTAGATACGAATATAATTACCCTGCAAGCGGAGGATTTTTTAAAACCCTCTCCCATCTCCCAACGGACGGTTGTATTGGGAGATGGGGGAGGGTTTAAAAAATCCACTGCTCGCATTGTAGAATATTATCTGCTTAAGCCATGAACTGGGAGTGGAAAAATTTGAAGACGAGGCAGGATGGGTTGAACCAGAAGTGGCAGCTTTAAGACTGAAACCGTCTGGTTCCTGCTTGGTTGCTCTTTTTTTTTTTTTTTCTTTCTTTCTTTCTTTCTTTCTTTCTTTCTTTCTTTCTTTCTTTCTTTCTTTCTTTCTTTCTTTCTTTCTTTCTTTCTTTCTTTCTTCCTTTCTTTCTTTCTTTCATCTATTCATTTTTTCTTTTTTTCCGTGTCTCTTTCGTCATCAGTCGTTTCTACTTTTCGTTTCCCCCCTCTCTTCTTTTATCTCATCAAACACTATACGATCCATCCATCCATCAAATAAGTCACTGATTAATTCCAAACTAATTCATCCTTTTACAAGCTGCTGTAAAAAAATTTGGCTTTTCAAGTATGCACTTCACATTCTATGAATTTTTTTAACCTTTAAATCTCTTCTCGGAAATCACAAGGTTCGATCAGTTTTCGTGCCAACATAACTCTCTTGATGACGTCTTTACCTTTTGACTTTTCCGCTAAGCAATCTTTGTGCCAACAAAAATCAAAAAATAGAATCAAAGATTTCTACAGTTTGCATATAGATAATAATTTTTTGTCCTGTTGAAGAGTCCCTATTGCTGGCCCTGTTTCAACAGCACTATCAGTTCTGAGAATTTACCGGCAAGACATTGCGAGCTAGTTTTGGATATTCTGACCTTGGTCGATACGCGGGAAAACCAATATATTTAGACCTCCCCATAAGCTGATTTCCTTGCCTCTCTGCGGGGTCAAGATTTCCGTCCTGTGGATAACAGGCCGCTCAGATATGCATAGGCCGGTCAGATTTACAAATAGCAAAAACCTAACATTATCGTTTTGTTTACAATCTGATTCATAAAAGTTCACTTACTCTTATTTTGAATTATTGGTTTAGAGTCATGGGTGGTGTATTTCATTTACGCCCTTCAGCACGAAAAAATCAAGGTGGTGCATTCTTATCCTTCAAGTAATAAAAATAAAGTTTTTTGTTTTTAGTTTTCATTAAAAAATACTATTTTATCACCAATATGTTGTAAAATCAAAACAAAACTAGCCAATAAAGTAATCTCAGCTGCGTCCGTGTATGAAGTGACAAATTCAATTTGCAAACTGRAATATTACTTTTCTTTCTTATAATAAAAGCCGCAGTTAACATATTGAACGTCTGTATGGAATTGATAGCATTCAATTGGTGTAGAAACTCGTATAGTGTCTTTGAGCTTCTGTCGCAGATGCCTAAGTCGAGGGCGACTAATTTGTGGGCTCTAGAAGATTCCATCRTTCCATGTTTACACTGAAATTCTCGAAATTATTTGTTCCAACATGACCGACCGCCCGCCATTGACCTTCATATGGCAATCACAAGGTCTGTTAGCTTTTCCGTTATAGCAGATGTGTGGTCTGAGATTTCATCATATGAGTCACGCAACGCACGCATCACGCACGTGAAATAATAGTTGAAAGTAGTCCAGTGTTGTGAGAAAAACTATTCAAAAGTCCAAGAAACCTTCCTACACTGTTTCTGAGTGTCTTCACATGCCATAATTCCCTAAATTCCTGTTTTTGCATATGACTAAAGCTCAAAATTCTTAATTATTACAGAACTTTTTCAGGAGGTTTGAAAGGAGTCCACATGCTCAGATAACTCAATCACGTGAGCTCATGCTCGAGCATGCGCAGTAGAGAAGAACTTTGGACTGTATTTTCGAAGAAATTCGAGGTTGAGTTGTTTAGGACTGACGATGCAAAAATAATAAACAAATAAATCAGTGATCCATGTACGTGAAAAACTATACGAAAGGTCATTCAACAACATTTTCTACAAGCATTTTGTTGTATTTGTGTTTATGATAACTGTGTTTATGAAAACTGTGTAATGGTGGTAAAGGGCGTTTTAGATTACCGATTAAATATGTAACCAAAATGGTCGAATATCTGTGAAGTCTAAAAATAAATAATCAGCGAATATTACAAGATTCGGTTAATCGTAAAGATAAGTTCTTGTCATTAGTATATCATTTGCGAAGACATCATGCAACTTGTCGTGCAGAAAATGACTTTAACATGACAAAAATGTGCTTGCTCAAAAACAAATGCTGCTCTTCTCTTCTCCATATTTAGTGTAATTATTACTGACTACCAAACACTTCACATGAATAATAAATAGGTGTTAACAGTGGCATTTCCACTGTGCCTCTTCATCCAATGAATTCCAATTGGAATTTGGAAGTTGATTTTGCCGAGGGAGGAAAAGCAGTTGACATTTTATAAATATGCATCAAGAACCGAAAGAAATTTGAAAATTAACACGATGGTTAAGGTTTCCTATCTTTTTTCACTATCAGTAAGCGATAAAATGCCATTAAATCGTCACCTTAAACAGCTCAGTGATGCAACGCGTTTGTCATTGCAACTCCAGAAAGGAGTTGCAATGAACCAATGAGATACGAGCATGACCCAGACATGTTGATGATGTAGTTTGGACATTATTGGGCAAAGTATTTTGCACTTACGAAGTTGCTGGATAACAAATTATTGCTCATAGTGCATAAAAATCGATATAATTACRCATGACCCCTGAAAAAAGAAAAGTTCCCCTATCCTAATCGCATAATTTTGTGTTTCGTTTTCTAACTTGTTGATCTAAGCATTACAGATCGAGAGCGGACAAAAAATTAAAACATGAGATGAAAAGTGAGCGAAAAAAAGAGATTGCTACACTAAAATCTATGGAGAATTTCGAGAATAACGATAATTATTCTCACAAGGAGTAATAACCAAGATGTTTATCACAAAAACCATTTAATTATTAACGACATGTTATACGTTATTTATAAATATCTTTATCATGATTATGTCCAAAACTTCCTGTTTTAATATATTAATCATCTTTATATGAACGTTGGTTAATGGATATGAAATTTGGATTCAAACGCGAACAAAACGAATAAAATAATGTACAACCTCAATAACTGAACTTGAAATAATCTTGCAGTTAAGACATGCAGATCAACTTAGTCTATAAATGGAAGACTTAGAAACCAAAAGCGCTACAAATATAAATGGGGGACTGACAACGTTTCGACTTGACTTTTTCATGAAAACAAGGTTGAATTTCTTCTACTTTAGGCGTCAAGTTCCTGGATGATTTCCATAAAACAGATATGAATGATATAAGTATAGAAGCCATTATCCTATCTAGATCTTACTGGACTTAGTGCACGACTGACAAAAAAAACTTTTGACAATTTTTGAAGGAGTCGCAAAATTGGTTGATAGTATCAGATATGGTCTGATGAAAGAGCAAGTGGATGCTAAGCCCGAACACGTGACCAAAGATGCAGGTGAAAACTGGCTAAAACGTGTGTACTACTAAGGCCCTGGCTAAACGAGGTAACAAGGTTCCAGAAACGTGTTTCCCGCGCGCATGTTCAACGATGATTCCAAGTTTAGCCACATGCGAAACATTGCTACGTGCAACAAATTTTGCTTCCAAGACGCAAAAATGTTTCCTCGTTTAGCCACGAAAGTCAACATTCTAAAAGTTCGTTACTTAGCAATGCTAGCTCTATCTTGAAAGTGCACATGCGCTAGCCGATATTGAGTAAACATGTTTCCCGCTGTTCCCTGACAGTTTTGCCACCTTTGGAAACATTTAAGAAAACATGATTCTGGAAACATGTTTCCTCGTTTAGCCAAGGCCTTAGCTCATTGCACAACAAACTCGCTTAATGATTGACCATGTGCTATAGATGATCACGTTTTCGACAAGGCAACCAGTGTTGTTTACGAGCACGACCAGATTGTTCATTTTCCTGTTGCTATTATTATAAGAACGAGTGTTTGGCTGCCAACTAATAGTTTCTTAATGAACCACGCAGAATCTTGTCCTGGTTCTCTCAACAAGAGACGGGAATATTGCCGCCCACGAACTCGCCCACGCGGCGCGGCCACAAACACTTATATTTCGAAAGAGAGCCAAAACTTGAACGGAAGGAAGAAGAAAGGAAGGGAAATAATCGGAAACGGTAGCTAAATGTATGTGTATTCTATCGCCAGTCCCATTGGACAACGGAGCGTGAATAGCAAAGCAATTCATCTTAAAATACCTTCAAAAAATATAAATATAGAAAATGAATAGTAGATTATTCTTTGGCTTATCTGATAGAAAGTTGAGCGTTACTCTCTGGAATTGTTCCTTGTAGTAAAAGTGATCCTGATGGATAACATTTCTCGTGGGTTTCCTGTAGTAAGAGTCGACTTGGTTTTTCATGCTTGGGCTTCCTGTGGCAAGAGGTTCTTTTCTCAAGGAGTTTCTAACCAAAGTTAATAACTCTCGTAAACTCGTAGGATATTTACTTCAGCAATTTCTCCAGCTATTGATTTCTGTAAGAAAAATGAAAGAACTTTCAACACAGCTTTGCTTGTTGTTTCGCGATTTCGAAACTTAAGTGCGATGGGCGGCGAAAAATTTTTTTTTTGCGAAAATTAAAAAAGGGTCCGATTTTTGAGTAAATTAAGAATTTGAGGAATTCCGTTTATAAAAAAATATTTTATGACTACTAGCTGTTCGTTTTGTGCTCCCGCGAATTGTAAGTCTCATAACTGATTATTTTTTGTTTATTTATTTATTTTATCACTTCATTGTTCTCGATAAAAAACCTTCAAATGACCTGCGCATCAGCCCGTACTCACAAAAGTGCGTACATAATGACTTCCGGGTTACTGAACCCCATTAGAACACCCTTCCCCGTGAATTGCACAGAAAATAACTTACTACAAAAATCTCTAGTTCTGTGTTATATCCTCGTCTGTTGTTTCTGGCCATGGAAAGTAGTTTAGAAAACTTCATTTTGTCCTAAAAGAATAAGCAAAAATATATACATCATGCGTTGGATAGAAGTGGAAATGTATGAGGCATCCCTGTAACTGTGAGCCAGAACTGAATAGAGGGTTCTAAAGGAGTAAAATATGAACTGGGATTCGCCTATTTTCCCCGGTTTATGTCACTGCGAATGGAACAAAAACATTATGAGAATGGGAAAATGTTTTTAAAGAAAAAAGATTGAGGTTTGGACGCTGGGAAATGGGATTTTTTCAGGACCCTTTACGAGATAAATTTATAGATTTTCACGACAGAAACTACTTGGTTTTGAACACTAAACTGGAATTGACCACAAGATGTGGGTAAGATTCAGTGAGACGATAGCAGACTGTCGAGTGTAGTGTAATCATATCATACCTGCTTGCTTATGTCATGCACAATACGACACTCAAATGACTAAAATAACAAAGAAAATTGTTATTAAAAAAATAGTTGATAATAAAATTAATAATGATACAGCTTCTCATTAATCCCATATATGTAACTGTCCAATTATTTTCTTGATTGGTACTTTTTTTCCGATTTGAATAGGTGCGATATCACACCTATTGAAAATATGTTTTTGTTTAATCGTTTGGCGTCAGTATAAACAAACGTAAACGAAAGTTCAAGTAAAAATATCAACAATAAGATCAAAAACTAAGCAAATTTCTTTTTTTTTCTTTTAAAAAGAACGCCAAGAAGAAGCATTCTAGATACGATCTGAACAAAATCCCCGGTAAAATGGACTGGGAATGACCCCAAAGCCATGTGACATGAAAAAACATGGCGGTCGCAGCTTCGCGAACCATTCGATCTTTAGTGTTCCTCAACACTATTAAACCTTCCTTATGCATTCTGTTTGAACATTTATACATTGAAAACGATTAATTAGTCTTTATACGTCTATTTGTGAACAAGATTTACTATTTAAAGAAAATKTTCGATGATTTTGTGAGTTTAGAAGTTGTCCCTGTAGACTCAATTTATACACCTGCAAATTAAAATACGCTAGTGGCGGTAGTTCCGAAACAAAGGTACGTCATGCGGACTAGCGGGGTTGAATTCTATTGTCAAATAGCGTTTGGTACCGAAATTATCGTCCGGTTTCCGGAATAGAGAGGTTCCGGTTTACTGAGGTTTATTTTACAAAAGATATATGGGAAAAATTTCCGGACCAAAACGTTTGTCCGGTTTATAGAGAATTCCGGTATACTGAGGGTCCGGTATAGAGGGGTTTCACTGTAATAGGTAATGGGATTTCATGCTCCCCAATCAAGAAATAATTAGACTCGAAAAATTCCTCTGACTGCCAAATTGGACTCGGCCTACGGCCTCATCCAATTTTGGAAGTCCTCGGAATTTCCCTCGTCCAATTATTTCTTAATTGGATTGGACAGCATGGAGTCCTATTACATATACTAATGTCTGCTCTGACGAGTGATTTGAATGTGCATACCTGTGGAGGGAAGGAGACTTGGAACTCACTATCAAGCTCCCTCAAGTCATTGATAGGTGCTTCAGCGGCAAAGCCCATATCAATATTTTGTACCAACACCTACAAAATAATACGTTAATAATGATGATTAATAATGATTTCTGATTTACATAGCCAGCGCCCTTTTCTATATGCATATACTTAAAATCGCTTACAATCATGGGGTAGCAATTGTGGGGAAGTTAGTTCATCTGTTTACCTTTCCTTTCCCAAGCAGTTTCTTGATGAGAACTCTTCTGTATCCGCCGTGTTTTTTCAGCTTCAAACAGCAGTTTTTCATAACGAAGACGTTGGTTACTTTTTCGTTTCGTTTCTCTATCGCAGCGCTGAAAYAAAAGTTTCTTGTTTTAATCTCGAACTTTGTGGAGCATAAAGAATAGTAACCAGGGAAGAGGGTAACGATGAGGAAGAGAAAGAAGACACGAAGAAGAAAAGATCAAGGAGCCAGGATCAAGAAAAAAAGGTCAAAAAGCAGCAGAAAAAGGCAACTCTACAAAGTATTTGTACGCCCAGCATAGGTCCTTTTTTCTCGCAACCTAAGATACTCTTTTAAAGGCTTTTTCGATAACTTTATTATCCTTTATCGCAGTTGAGCTCACGACCCAGCGGTATCCTAAATAAGCGTAAATCGAAGGGTGAGGCTATCGGGTTGAACTTGCGAAAATTGACCTCTTTCTCTTTTACTCCGACGAAGGACTAGCGTCCGAAACGTCACTAAGTTTTTCATCTTTTCACGGTGTATAATTTACCTTTTTATCATTACTGTTTCATTAGAAACACCGATGCAGCTAACACTAGTTTTTAGCTAGTTATATCTTCTTATGTAAGATTTATGGTATTTGTTTTGTATGTTAATTTGAAGCTCGTTTTCAGGAACTCCATACGTCTTACATAGTGTCTTTGACATTTATCGGTCCGGTAGCCTCACCTCAATATACGGACATTCAGCATACCACTGGGTCGTGGGCTCAAATGTGATAAAGGCTATTGGAAAATGGTCAACTTGCTCAAGTAGACCTTCCTGGCTTGGTTAGGTTGTGACATTCACCCTTACCTACCTACCAACGCACACAGGATTTTTCGAAGCCCTCAACGGGAGACAAGTAGATTCAAAACTTCAGTTCATCTCAATATTACAAGCGTATTCAATGTTTAATAAAACTTACTGCATCCTCTTGCAGAAATGTTTAAATGCTATCTCCTCTTCCTCGTTCCTATAGATTCTTGCGCAGAATATGTTGTCTTCGTTCGGTCGTGACATTAAGATTACCCTGTACTCAAACCCTATAGAAAGGAATTTATAAAATATATAATATTATATTATATTATATCAAAAATATATTTGGCAAAACATGGCTATACTCGATGCCACTTTAAATATTCCATTTGTGACTTAGCCGTGCCCTGACTTTCCTCAGACCATGGTTTGTTTTAAGGTTCGATAAAATTGATGTATTTTAGTAGGACCTTGATTATTAGAAAGGGAAGAATAATCCCCTCCTCTCCTCTCCTCTCCTCCCCTCCCCTACACACAACACTGATCGTATAATGAATCTGATATAAAATAATAAGCACCGTTTGTGCTATAATAATGCTAACCTACCTGGTTCAACTGGAAGAAAACCCATTGATTCTTCGTTATCTGAAGACTCTTTCTCATCAGAAACGACGTCAGCATTTCTTGTCAACCAATCAGAATACGACTCCTCGGTAGTGTTTGTAGCTGAATGACTTTGCATGGAGGGACTAATATCTGAACTAGGTTCCCCATCTATGTTTTCAGGAGAGGCCCTCTTTGTAGACCAATCAGAAGACAATGTGGTAGTAGGGGTAATATCTGAACTAAGTTCACTATCAATACTTTCAGGAGAGGCCATTCCTTCCCGTATATCATCTTCTTGTTCTATTCTTGGTTTCACGTCGCTCAACGTACCATTATCTTCTAATGCTGTAGCAGTATATTCTTTAGTTTTTTCCATCGCCTTTCCTTCGGCATAATCCAATGGTTCTGAAGCGGCAGAAGAAGTGAAACTAGTTGGTAAACTACTTTCTGAAGGTGGATTCACCACGTAAAAATCTTCCTCTGGTTGACATTCTGGTTGTTGTAACCCGTGATGGAGGTATGATGGGCATCTTTCTTGAGGTGGAAACTTTTTGACCTCTGTGCTCACGCCATTCCCTACACCTGCTTGCTGTGATAGAGTCGTTTGGTCTTCTTCTAGAGTGTCCTCTTGCTTAGGAAATGATTCTAACTTTTCATTAACGATCTCAGAATCGACCACCTTTGGTTTGTCGAGATCTTCAAAAGTTGGTGACATCTTTGAATCCTCTAACCTTTCATCATTTTCTACTGTTACATCTCGCGTTGCCATAGCGGCAAGATCTTCAGATCTCATGATTTCTTGTTCATCTTCAGTTGCAACCACTTCACCGGTCACTTCGTATTGATCTTCACTAGTTTCAGGYAATTCTTCCTTCCCAGGAAAACCTTTTTCTTCGACGTCTTCATTTCTCTGATCGTTATTCATCACTTCAGTCTCGAGTTCTGACTGATATTCCCGATTAACATTTGTTTCTGAGCATTCAGAAGCATTCAAAGGCACGGAGCTGTCACTCACTAATTTCAAGTTGGAATAATCTTCAGAAGCTTCGTTTTCACTTGCTTTAGGAACATCTTCGATCTGCACTTCGGGGCTAACGTTCATGGCATCTTGTTTCATCCTGGGGTCTTCAAGGGCAGAAACTGACAGAACTGTTTCATCTTCTGTCGTTTTTGACTCGTTGGTAATTGCTTCAACGTTCGCAGAACTCGAGTTATCAACAGAGCATCCATTCAGGGCTTTAGACTCGCTCGGACGCAAGGCGACGTTATCTTCCTTCTCGTCTAATATTGGTTTTTGTTCTTCTTCTTCTGTTGTTGTTTCACTTGTGGTGTCTTGGCTTGCAGCATTGCTGGTAATGTTGGAGTAGATTTCGGCGACTCTGACAGGTTCTGCTTCAAGCTAAAGATACAAATGGAACTAGTTGGTAAATAAATTGTTACTCAGTCTGAAATTTGCTCTTTGCTTTGCTACTTTAAAGTAAAACTTGATCGAAATTTTCTCCTATTATCTTTCATTCTTTGTTGTTACTCTGCGTTCCATCCATTTATTCATACTTTTCCTTCCTCTCCTTTAAATATACTCTTTCTTTCTTTCACTCATTCTGAATTATTTTTCTAATTTCTTTCGGGTCTGGTATCCTAAAAATCGTGCGTCCTGATTGGTTCTTTGAGAGCACTGGTATTTTCTCAGTATCTGCCCGCGCGCGTTCCAGTATCGTGATGTCATCCACTCGCGCGCATCGGATAATGGATTCCTAAACAAGTCGAAAAGTAAAGTGGAAAAGTATAAATAAGCTATTTACCATCCTAAAGTCGGTCTGGATAGGGGAAAAAGTGTACCCTCGGTCTTTAAAACGAACGCATATTCAAGACCTCGGGGACAGTTTTTTCCTATCCGGACCTTTGGACCGGCAAATAATATATATTTGCTTTCACTCATCCTTTTACTTACATCCCAGTTTTCACTTTCAACCGAGTCTTTCTCCTTCCCGTCATTACTTCTCCCTGCCAAAAACTCATCACTACCTTCTATGCTTCTTCTTCTTCGTTCTTTCCTTGTTTGACCATTATTCTTGTCAAGCAATTTTGTTTCCATGTCTTGCGAGTTGTAAAGCCYTTTCGCATATCCTGGTTGATCCCCATCACTCAAATTTTCCTGGCTGGATACAAAATCTTTTCGCGGATCTTTGCTGTACATCCTACAAGCATCGTCAAGAACACTACTCTTTCTTTTTATCTTTTCATACTTTTGAATGATTTCACCTCCTCTCTCCCACTTCAATTCCTTACCAACGATATTTTCTCTCGTAAATTGCCGAAGATATGCTTCTGATTCTAGCATCTTGGTAGAAAGCCTGTTAGCATTGTACAAATCAATGCGGAATTCACCATAGCAACAATGACTCCAGAGAAGCCCTCGACCCAAGACAGTACAGTGTGGGCTTGCATGGCAAGGAGAAACGATTCTCACTAAACCTATCACGTAAATCCTGGATAAAAACACCAAAAAAAGAGGGTGTCGTGTTCCACGGGATACTTGATCCCTGTAGACCTTGTTGATATTCTTACAGAGTGCATCGTCAATGCAGCACCATTTCTTTGTCTTCATGGCTTCAGTTAACTGGAAGTCATCGACATGGACAATAAAGAACCGTGCGTTGATGATTAAAGACTTGACAAGGGCGAAATTAGCCTTACATTCCTTGAAGATCCGGTCATACATTTGTTCATTAAGGAATCCTATTGGTACGTATTCTGGTATAGTCATTAATGGTTTCACTTCTCGGGCTTGTTCTTTTGGACCTTGTAAGTCACTGACAGGATTTCTGGAAACGTCACCAGGAACGTCCCGATCGGTATTTGTTAAAATAGTCACCGATGGAAGTTCTTTCTCCTGTTCGTCGTTTGGCACCATAGGAGCTAGAACATTTGGTGAACTCTGCTCGTTAGAGACAGACCTTGGGTGTTCTGAAGGCGAAGCAGAAGTGACAGTCTGTTCGTCGTCTGCTTTCTTAACACCATGTGACTCCGTTGTTGCTATGGAAACATTTGCTTGTGCCAGTGGTTTTAATGAATTGTCTTCTTGTTTAGGTTCCTCTGTTTGATGTTGGACGAGAGCCTCTTTTGGGAAAACGGCTTGCTCCTAGAATAACAGTGAATAAGACGTTCAATCAGTAGTCTTTCGTGCTTTCTACCTATCAAACCTAATATGATATTGATTGATTAATTTACTGAATAAAGAATTGATAGCAAATAACCGTGATGCAACGGAAAACGTTCAATTTAAAAATGGATGAAATAGGAGGGGGGAGGGGTGGGGGGAATCATGTTTTCTCTCAATGTTTTCGGGACCCCCCGTTTCTTTCCAACATTTTGATAAGTTTTTTATATACAACTCATCAATTATTTGATGACACCCCTTTAGGGGGTCACTAAAATTTCAAGACCCCTATTTTCTCACCCACCCGCCTCTCTGCCTCCCTCCCTGCCCTACGATAAATAATAAGGGTAACTTTGATATATTACCTGTTTGATCAGTTCTTGTTGAAGCACTGAAATGAAAAATAAAAAAATTACATCTCGTTGTCACAGGCCTTTATTGACCTGATAAACACTGTTCATGCATTCTGGTCTAGCTTGGGTACAGACATACTGTACGAAGAATGATGAAAAAAAGACGTTTGTACCCCAACCTAGACCAGAATGCACCGTGTTTGCTATCTCAGAAAAGAAATATGTTTAAACCAAATTTCTTGTGTAAGAGGAGCATTATATCACAACCTTAAAATAACTCCCATACTCCATATTTAAGTAGCATATGCCTGTTGTACAAATCAAACCACCCATACATTACTTGCTCACCAGTTGTTCTATTTATTGTAAAATACAGACCAGTAAAGATTCACACTTACTTAAGTCAGCTACTTTCTGATTAATGTTGACTTGTGGAGGCTCTATTGAAGTCAACTGCACGTGGAACAAGGTATTACCTTCAGGAAGTATAACCTGTTATGAAATAATTGTTAGGAGCGTGTGCTTTAAGGAAGCACACAACATGCTGCATGATACGATGAGGAAATGATCAATGTATGTTGTTGTACCTTGGAACATATTTTAGCCTTGATATCCTTGCCATGGATCAGGTCCTTGAAACACCACTTGGCCTAGAGGAAAGTATTGGAATTAATCCTTATTAGTAAAATAACATATTTTTTCTCACTGAAAGACATGGTTAATATTTGTGCAATGGTACACACCTCATATGGAAGGGAGATGTACTCAGAATAGGGAAACAAGCAACACTCCATGGCCTGTGTGGATAATATAACAAAGAATATATTCAGTCGTAAGTTAATATGATGCTGTTTCATTAGGAATGTGCAACCATCCGTTCATCCATCCATCCCATCTATTCATTCCCTCCATCCATCCCATCTATTCATTCCCTCCATCCATCACATCTATTCATTCCCTCCAT